GAACATTGTTTTTTTTTTTTTTTCAGAGCTGATGATAGGCATTTTTCTGCAAAATATCAGGAGAAAGAGGAGGAGGCAGAGGAGGAGGAGGAGGAGGTGGAGGAGGAGGAGGAGGAGGAGGGGGCCCGGCCTCCAGGCCCTGCAGCGAGGGGATGCCGAGGCGCCGGCCCACGGCCCCCAGCGCCCGCGCGGCCGCCGGCGACGGCACGGCCAGGCGCGAGTTGTAGATGAAGTTGAGGACGTCGGAGAAGACGCCGGCCTGGACGCCCGGCAGCTCCAGCACCTGGGCGGGCGAGGGGCAGGCGGGCTCCTGGGCCAGCGCCCGCTTGAAGAAGGGGCTGGAGGCGGCCAGGACGTTTTTATGGGCGCGGAATTTGGTGTCCTCGGCGATGATGGTGACGTCGCAGAACTGGCCCCGCAGGCGCTGCTCGTTCAGCTCCAGCAGCAGCGCCCGGCAGTGCCCGGCGTCCGACACCTCCACGACCGGAGCCATCCCCGCGCCGGCCACCTGCAGGGGACGGGGGGACGGGGTCACCTGGGTGGGCGGGGCCACGGTTTGGGGTCATCTAGCTCCTTATTTGGGGTCATCCAGACACCTGGATCCCATATTTGGGGTCACCTGGGTGGGAAGGGTCATGATTTGGGATCACCTGGGTGGGCGGGGCCACGGTTTGGGGTCACCTGGGTGGGCGGGGCCACGGTTTGGGGTCATCTAGCTCCTTATTTGGGGTCATCCAAACACTTGGATCCTATATTTGGGGTCTCCTGGATGGGCAGGGTCACAATTTGAGGTCACCTGAGTGGGAAGGGTCACAATTTGGGGTCATCTAGCTCCTTATTTGGGGTCACCCAGACACCTGGTTCACTATTTGGGGTCACCTGGGTCCTTATTTGGGGTCACCCAGACAGCTGGATCCCCTCTTTGAAGTCACCCGCATGGCTGAATCCTTTATTTGGTGTCACCCGGGTGGGTGGGGCCACGGTTTGGGACCACCCAGACACCTGGTTCGCTATTTGGGGTCACTCTGGGGTCCAGTGTCCCTTGTCCCGGGGTCACTCTGGGCAGAACCACCAGGGAGGAGCCCAGTGCCCTCCCAGTATCCCCCAGCGCCCCCCAGTGCCCTCCCAGTTTCCCCCAGTGCCCCCCCAGTGCCCCCCAGTGCCCCACCTGTGCGCGGGGCCCTCATGGACTGGGTGTTGCAGCTCCGGGGGTCCTCGGGGGGGGGTCACAGCCGGCCGGGCCTCCTGGTGGGGGGAACACACCGAGAGAGGGGTCACAACACCGGGATTTGGGGTGAAACAACCGGATTTGGGGGTAAAAACCCCAGATTTGGGGGTGAAACATCTGAATTTGGGGGTGAACACCGGGTTTTGGGGGGAAACACCCGAATTTGGGGGTACCGGGGGTTCATTGGAGGGGTGACAACACCCGGACGCGGGTGACAAGGTGACAGCGAGGGATTCTGCAGTGTGATGTCACTGTCACAGCAAAGGGATGAGCGTGACGTCATCTGGAGGGGTTGGAGTGTGACGTCATCACGTGGGTGAGTGACATCACGGGTCGGGGTTGGCTGCCGCTGTGAGGGGATGGGTGTGACGTCACTGATGGGGGGTGAGGATGGCATGACGTCACCACGAGGGGACACCGGTGACAACACCGGGGAGGGGGCGGGACAGCATGACGTCATCTAGGTGACGTGTGGGGGCGTGTCGCGCACAGCGGGGACACAGGGGTGGGGACAGCGACACACACACAAACACACCTGTACACACACACACAGAGGTGTGACACACACACAAACACACCTGTACACACACAGAGGTGTGACACACACAGAAACACATCTGGACACACACACACAAACACACCTGGACACACACGCACAGGTGGGACACACACACAGAGAAAAACACATCTGGACACACACACACACACACAGACGTGTGACACACGGACACAAACACAGGTGGGACACGCACAAAAACACCTGTACACACACAGGTGGGACACACAGAGAAACACCTGTACACATACACACAGGTGTGACACACACACACAGGTGTGACACACACAAAAACATATGCACAGGTGTCACACACACACACACACCTGGACACGCACAGGTGGGATAGACACAAAAACACCTGGACACATACAGGTGTGACACACACAGAGGTGTGATACACACACATCTGCACACACACACAGGTGACACACCCATACAACAGCCACAGCACCTGTTGCACACGCACAGCATCCGTGACACGTGTCGGACACAACACCCGCACACAGACACACACCTGCACACAGACACGCATCTGCACATGGACAAACAACTGCACACAGACACAACACACACAGCCCCACAACGCCCAACAGCCACGCCCAGATACACACAGACACAAGGCACAACCGAACACGTGGCACAGCCAGATGTGTCTGCACAACTGTGCGCGGGTGTGACACACAACCAGACGTGGATGTACAACCGCACTCAAAGCACCCCCACACAACCCCCGCACGGATGTTTCACCT